GGGGATGAAGCCTGCAGCCCAGGCATGTGGCCCTGACCAGAATCGAACCTGGGACCCCTCAGTCCTCAGGCCGACGCTCTATCCACTGAGCCAAACCAGCTAGGGCCTTATAAATACATTTTAAAGTCCAGTGTTCAGCATGGTCAAGGAGCACCAGGCGGATCACAAGGAAACAGGACACCATGAGCAAGAACCAGCAGAAACAGGCCCTCAGACACTTCAAGTCTTAGACTTATCAGACACAGACTATAGAACAACTGTGCTTTGATGAAAGAAAGGCGTCTTAAAGTGTCTGCAAGGGGACAGGAAACAATAAAAAGGGACATACTGGATTTATAAAGAAAGCTTTACAGTTTCATCAGAGATAAAAAACCAATTCCTTTAGAGGCCACCTGGTAATACAAGTGAGTAAAGGGACGTGACACGCTGGTGACCTGGGGAGCTCTGAGGGGCACAGGGCTCCTCGGCTCCAAGTGGTCGTGGCCATTGGCACTGGGGGCCCAGCTTGTACATCTTCTGCTATTTCTAGAAAAAGCTCCATGTTAAAAAAAAAGTTTTTTCTTTTTTATTAAATTTATTGGGATGACATTGGGTAATCAGATTATATAGGACATGTGTTAGGTGGATATTTGGATTGCTTTTTATTGTAGTAAAAGACACACAACATAAAATGGGCCGTTGTGAGAGGCAAGCATTTTAAAGTGTACAGTTCAGTGGCATTAGGTACATTCACAGCATGTGCAGCCACCACCGCTGGAACCTTTTCATCCATGACTTCCTCATCACCCCCAAAGGAAACCCCGTATCCACTGGGAGTCACTCCCCACTCCCGTGGCCCCTGGCAACCACCAATCTGTTGTCTGTCTCCGTGGCTTTGTCTAGTGGACATATCTCCTGTGAGTGAAATCATGCAATATTTGTCCTTTCGTGTCTGGCTTCTTCCACTTAGCATGTTTCCAAAGTTCATTCACGTTGTGGCATGGGTCAGGACTTCACTCCTTTTTCAACGGCTGAATAGATACATGCATTAATCCATTGGTATTTGGGTTTCTGATGTGCCATCTTCCATATATATATATGTGGCCCCAACCACATATCTGCTGACCTGACTTCTGCATGTGAGGTCAGGGCCGGCAATATGAGACCTCTGCATTAGGACTTGCTGTTAGGAATGTCCCCAGAATGAGTCTCTGAGGCTGGTGTTCTATTCACTTTTCACATTAGGAACTTGAGGTTCAGAATGGTAGAAAGACATGCGTAGAAAAAGGCCTGCACTGCAGTCCCCCAGGCCATTGCCGGGTAGCTCATCTACCCCAAATCAAAACCAATCAGGGCAAACTGATTGGTTCC